CATTTCTGCCTTTATTCAGATGAAGATGTTGAAGAAACGCTTCCACTTTGTGATCCACGACTGCTGCGCCTTATAGACTTTGACACAGCTGACTTACTGTCTTCAGGTGCTACCTGTTGATCGCACCTTTCAGCCAGTTCAGAACGTTTTACAAAATCTTTCATCCAGTCCTCACATTTCCAGAAAAATGTATTGATTGTCTCCATTGTAGGATCAAACCAGTCCTTTTGATCCTCCACAAACTCCTCCTCAGTCATGTACTGCTTTAAACCTATGTTTAGGCCAGAAAACTCCTGTTGCAGTTTACTGAAATCAACACGGAGGTAGGTTTTTTTTTTACCATGTCTGCATTTCCATCGCCGTCCATTAACTGCCCAATTTTTTGTTTCATTGTAGTTAGCTGGGATAGTTTGCATCTGCGAGCATGGATTTGTTTAGTTTTGTGCTCTTCCACAGCCTTTTCAGTCATTTTAATTGTCTGCTTTCCAATATTCTGTTCATCCATAATCAGCGATCTGTCCACACGTTATTTGTAAAGGCCGAAAACAGGTATGAGGCAGCCTAATCCACTGCACCTGCCGGTCCTCACAAGTTAGCAATTAGCTGAAACACCCATCATGCTGTGATCTTTGTTAGCAGCTCTCCATGAACCGAAGCTTGTCACTTACAGCTTTCTGTTCTCCATCCTTTCCAGCTTGTTCTTGCATCCAAAATATATCCAGTCCGTCTGTTTCAAGTCCAGTATCCATGCGAAGTCAGTTTTTTTGACAAAATGTAAATCCTTATCGAGTGAAACCTACTTAAAAATGAAACATGTACAGCAAAAAAGTAAGCAAAAACAACTTATCCACGAGTTGGTAATTAAACAGAAAAAGAGCTAGGGAGGTCAAAAAACTTTTTGGCTTCACTCCCCAACTAGTCTGTCTGGACTTTCTCTCCTGACATGCCCCACCCACAACACATGACTTAAATAAACATGTTACCAACGCCAAACCAACAAAGATCTACACATAAAACAAATAGCTTCAGTCATACAAATAATCTTTACAAAATTTACTTTAGGCTCCTACACGGACTTTCTAGGAAAACGAGCTAGAGTTTGATTAAAGTGGACTAAACAGGGCTGGTGTGAATGCACCCCAAGATTACGCTGTTGTTAGTTTTTAAAGAAAAGTTATTTGAGTAATTCTCAAAGTTTTTGTAGTTATTTCTGTTGTACAGCTACCAGTTTATACCTTTTACAAATAAAAGTTTGCAACTATTTACTTGATTTCTTTATCATTTACTTTATTCTATATTTAACTATTACTTATTTAATTTATTCTTTTATCACTTTGATAAATATATTAATCTGAATGAGTCTTTTTGGGGAAGGGAGTAGCGAGGGATTGGGGGCTGGCTAGGAAGAAAGAAAGGGGTCTTTGAGGAAAATAGGTTGGGAACCACTGTCCTATACGGCTTAAGCACAAAAAAAAAAAAAACTGTCCAGATGACCTGACTGAAAAAATGTTGGATTGTATACCTGGATTATTGAGCATGGACTTTGTTGTTTTGAACCAGTTTGACATGACTGTTGACGAGGAAGAGGGCCAGCAATTGGGCATGCCAAAGACACCATCTTAGCACCAACATAACTGGTTTGCTCCACTTTGGAGTAAACTGTTGGGGTAAGAATCAGTTTTGTGTTGTGTGTTTCCTTGACTGATCAAGTCTTCTGGATGGAAGGTGAAACGTTTCAGCACAAAAAAAAGAAACTGTCCAGATGACCTGACTGAAAAAATGTTGGTGTGTCCTATACGATGTTCATTCGTACGCGCGTGCTCACACAGAGTCATGTTCGTGCTGTTGTTCGGCGTATTGTCTTAGAGTATTTCTTAGTCATATCTTAGAACTTATTACTGTTTATCTTTACAATTTATACTTTTTTTGGATGTAACTGGGACTATGTGTATACAATTTCGTTCCACCACATGTCGTGCAAATGACAAATAAAGAAACTTTGACCTTGTCTCTGCGTGAGTGCAGCTACAGCGTGCGTTCTCAGGACATCGTTACCTGCAGTGTTCCCTCAGTGAGGACTGAACTAGACAAAAGGACCTTCTCCTCCTCCGCTCCTGTTTCCTGGAATATCTTGTGAAAACATCTGAAGCTCTCGACCTTTGACCTCTTTAAGTGGCTTCAAACATCTGACAAGTTCCTGGAAAAACCAACGCAAACATGTTCCTGTTTTTAGTTTTCTACATTGCTTTATAATATGGAGATGTTTTTGTTTAGTTTTTATTTCATTTTTTCTATTTACTTTTTCCATTTTTTATGCTTCTTATATGATTGTCTACTGTTGTCTGTGCCTCATCTGTGTTGTTCATTTAAAACAGGTCTCTCTGTAAATGAGTCCTCAAGGCTCAGAACCTGCAGAAATAAATGTTTAATCTTTGAAACTCAATGTCACTAAATTGAAACTTAATTTAATGGTTTGAAACTGAATAAATTTGCTTTGAAATTTCACTTTTATATAATTGGGTTTCGTGGCAGCACGGTGGCGCAACTGGTAGAGCTGCTGCCTCTCAGCGAGCAGGTCCCTGGTTCAAACCCCGGTCCAGGGGCCTTTCTGGGTGGAGTTTGCATGTTCTCTCCGTGCATGCGTGGGTTTTCTCCGGGTGCTCCAGTTTCCTCCCACAGTCCAAAAACATGCATGTTAGGCTGATTGGTAACTCTAAATTGTCCCTAGGTGTGAGTGAGAGAGTGAATGGTTGTTTGTCTCGTTTGTCTCCATGTGGCCCTGTGATGGACTGGAGACCTGTCCAGGGTGTACCCCGCCCCTCGCATAGTGATTGCTGGACATGGGCACCAGCGACCCCCGTGACCCAAAATGGAATAAGCGGGTAAAGATAATGGATGGATGGATAATTGGGTTTCAATTTCAAAATGTCACGTTATAGAAAATGCATTAAAATGAGAAATAAAAGTGTGTCTCATCTGTCAGGTCTACTACAGTAATTTAACATTAGTTCTGTGTCAGTGGGTCACTTGATGTAAATAAATTATATTAATTTTTGTTTCAAGAGTTTTTCGTTGGGTAATTTGTTAACGGTCCCTAAGCGAGAACTGCAGCCTGAGCCCAGCTGACCCAAATCAGACCGCCTGCATCGGACTGAAGGAGAGGAAGACACCGCTGAATCCTGGGAGCGCAAATATCCAGTGTCTAAAACTAAAGTCACTTCTTGTGGTTTCAAGGCGCTCGGCTCTTCTGCCTCCGTAACGTTGAGCAGCACGACCATGTCAGCAAAGTTTAAAGCTGTCGGGTTTGAACTGAGTCTGGTGGGATCAGGTTCAGTAACTGCTTGAAGACTTACCTGGTGCAGAACTTCAGCCAGCTGCAGGTCCAACGGGTCCAGACTGCAGCTGGTCGGTTACTGATTCACCCGGTTAATGATCCGAATCTTGGAACTGATCCACGACTACTTGAACCACTTCCGGGGTCTTACGTCGTTTGTTTTCGTCAATATTTAGTTTCAAGTCTGTTAAATCTGTTTTATCCAAAACTCGTGCACTTTAATTACAAAACCGTTTGAGAGTAAAATAACAAAGTCCATGCTCAGTAATCCAGGTTCATCAGTGACTGACGAAGCCTTCCGGATCGAAGGCGAAATGTTTCAGCACATAAAAAAAACTGTCCAGATGACCCGACTGAAAAATGTTGGAGGAGAGTAAAATAGTTTTGTTCTAGTTTACTGAATGAACCAGATCACTTCAAGGTCAAGCTTCTTTATTGTCACTCGCATCACATGTGGTACATGAGGTGGAATGAAACTATGGGTCCGTTACATCCAACAAAAATACAAATTGTAAAGAACAACGGTAATAAGATCCAAGACATGAACTGAATGAATCAGATTATTCATTCAACCTTTATTTCCACAGGTTGATCCCATTGAGACTCGGGGTACAAATTGAGAACAAGTGAAAATAAAATGGTATTAAAGTTACCAAAAAAAAAGCTAACTCATGCTGCTGATCTCATGCTGCTGATTTCTTTCATGTTGTGCTCATTCGTACTCATCTGCTCACACACACTCATGTTCGTGCTGCTGTTGTTCGCTGTAGTTTTTGTATTACTAGTGTTTAGTGTATTTATGAGTTCATATCTTAAATCTTGGTTTTCTTTACAATTTGTATTTTTGTTGGCTGTAACTGGGACCATGTGCAGTTTCGCTCCACCACGTGTGACTTTGACTAGGTTATAAATAAACTGAATTGTAAGGCGATGTAGAAAACTAAAAACACGTCTGCATCATTTTTCCCCCAGATCCAGATTAAAAAGTCACTGATATGAACAGGATCCATGCTCTAACACACCTGTCACCTCCTCATGATGATCACCCATCGATTCAAACCAGCTGAGTTGGAGCACAAACATTTCAAACCTGCAGGATGGTGGCCCTCCAGGACCAGGACTGGACACCTCTG